GTCGTTACTTAGGCTCGCATGCGTTATTTGTCGCTCCTTCTGCGTTAGCTGTTATTTGTCGTTCCTTATGCGTTACTCCTTGGAAAAAAGGGTTTCGGTCCTTATTCATCCTTCCCTAGGTCAGACCGGTGAATGTAGCGTGGTCTTGGTCCTCCCGCGAGGAGGCCGAGTGCGCGCGCCTCGCCGCTGATCTGGACGCCGCCCCGACCTTCCCCTCGCAGGAGCCGCGCTTGCGCGAATACGCCGCCCTCCGCTCGTCTTTTTTTCCGCGGCGCCCCTCCCCTGAGGAGGAGGAGGGAAAGGAGGAGGAGGAGGAGGAGGAGGAGGAGGAAGGAGGAAGGAGGAGGGGAAAGAGGAGGACGAGGACGAGGACGAGGAGGAGGAGGAGGAGGAGGAGGAGGAGGGGGAGGAGGAGAAGAGGACGGGGAGGACGAGAGGAGGGGAGGAGGAGGAGGAGGAGGAGAGGAGGAGGAGGAGGGGAGGGAGGAGGGAGGACGAGGAGGAGGAGGAGGAGGAGGAGGTGGAGGGGGAGGGAGGAGGAGGACGAGGAGGAAGGAAGGAGGAGGAGGAGGAGGAGAGGAGGAGGAGGAGGAGGAGGAGGAGGGAGGAGGAGGAGGAGGAGGAGGGGGAGGAGGAGGAGGAGGAGGAGGAGGAGGAGGAGAAGGGGGGGGAGGAGGAGGGGGAGGGGGAGGAGAATGAGGAGGAGGAGGAGGAGGACGAGGAGGAGGAGGAGGGGGAGGAGGAGGGCCACGAGGGCTGCGCCAACGCCGTGGCCTGGCGCGGCGACGAAGCGGGGCTTTGCTCCGGGTGCGCCCTGCTGACCCTCTATCGCGCCGTGTGGCAAAAGCACGGCGGTCGTCTCTGGCCCTCCAGCGGACCCCTCGCGTCGTGCACAAAGCATCACGGTGGTCGTGTTTCGTTGGCTGTTCGGTCTATGGGGGCCCTTGCCGGGCCCCAGCATCGTTAACGAACAAACGTCTCAGGATGAAAAGCCGGTCCTACATCCCTCCCCGAAACAAAACGCAAGTTTGTTTTATTGGTCGCAGCGCGAAACGCGGCCCACGAGGTCAGATTTTTGCGTTTGCAATCGCCAATTCCGGCGCGATGATTGAAGCTTTGGAGTCCGGGGGCGCCACCACGTCGCGGGAAAAATTTGCGCTTGATTCCGAGAGGGGTTGCAGGGAAGGGGTCCGGACTTCTAGGCGGTGACAATCGAAGAAAAAAAACGTCATAAACATACATGTTTGGCGCTCCACGCGGATTTCTTGGATCCGCAATGGGCCCCCCCATGGCAGCGCCTCTGGCGCCGCCCCTGGCGCGCTCCGCGCGCCAGGGAGGGGGTCCGGCGCTGATCCAAGAAATCCGCGCAGAGCGCCACTAGTTTATTGAATCGCTTCGCTCATTCCGCCGGCCCGTGGGGGCCTCTTGGGGGCCTCTTAGGGCCTCCAAGACGCCTCTTGGGGGCCTTTTAGAGCCTCTTGGGTGCCTCTTGGGGGCGTCTTGGGGGCCTCCTGAGGGCTCTTGGGGGCCTCTTGGGGCCTCTTAGGGGCCTCTTGGTGCTTCGCGTCACTAGTTTATTATAATGCCTGCATTTCTTCTTCTAGACAGAGGTCACGATTCTCCAAGGACCTGGCCCCCTGCCGGCCCGCTCCTCTTAGCGGCTCCCCTGATGGGCCAATTTTTCACCCCAGCTACCACAGGTAGGAGAGGGAGGAGAAGGAGGAAGGAGGAGGAGGAGGAGGAGGATCTGGCCATCCTCCCTTCCCCCCCGTCCTACCTATGGTAGTGGTGGTGGAAAATTGGCCCATCATCCCCTCTCTCTCTCCTTCTCCCCTGTCCTACCTGTGGTAGCGGTGGTGGACAAAATGGCTCATCATCCCCTCTCTCTGGGCTCCTGGCTCTGCTTGTAGATCTCGTTGGTCGCCCGCGTGCTCGCGTGCGCCGTGTTGAGGCGGCATGTCATGCTGCCGATGGCCTGCTCGAGCTGGCCTCCTCTGTGCTGCGGGCGCTGGATGCACACCTGCTGTGCTGGGTCTGCGCCCTCGCCGCCGGGGCTCGCCCAGCACTGCGGACGTCCTCCCACCACACCGTGGTCCACTGCTGGTCGAGGTCGCTGCTCGTCACTGCCGTAATGCGGCTCGGAGTTGGAAGTTTGGGCCGAACGAGCTACGTACGGGGACCGTAGTGGTGGTCATTGGTAGGTGGTGTCTTCAGTGACCTTAGTTGGCCCAGTCTTGAGCTGCAGTTGTTTCAGCTTGCCTGTCCGCCGTTGTGGGGCCACAAACACATTGCACACTCCACTGGTAGTCACCACCGAGTTGGTTAGTCGTCCGTCGTATCATCGTGCGGTCCTTTGTGTTCGCCGACTCAGCTTTACACTGCAGTTCCCGAGGGCCTCAGGGGGCGGGCCGTGTCTTTTTGAGCCTCTTGCTTCGCCACAGAGGGGGGGTGGGAGGAGGGAGGGCGGGTGGGAGGTGGCGCCCGTCCATAGCTGGGGGAGGGGGGGTGGTCGTGTATGCCCCCCTCCCCAGTTGGTTACTGCACCACCGTATAGCAGCCCCTGGCACGCAAGTCCCTGTAGCAGTTAGCAATGCGTACCAGGTTGCCCATGGACCCACCGTGTTGCTGTGCTTTGTTCCTTGGGCCCTGGAATCGTACTAGGTCCTGGCTGAGTGCCATTGTCATGGTTTCCTCTCTCGTCCCTGGCGGCACTGCGGGTGGCCAGCGAGCGGGGCTGACGCTGTTTGACCTCGCGGGGCTTTTAGCTTCGGAGGGCTCTGGCGCGCTGCGACGTTGGGCTGGAGGCGCTGGCGCCTCCGTCGATCCTGGGTTCAACGCTTCTTGTTGAGCTGGCGCTCGGCAGTCCTCTCGAGCCCCGTCTTCGGGCCTCCTGAGACGCTCTTGGTCCCGCCCTGGTGCGACATGGCCATGCTGATCGCGTGATTGACCATCACCGCCTGTAGCCCTAGCAGCGCCTGAGGCTGGCCATCCTCCACCTTGTCCTTGTAGAGCGCGGTCCTGAAGCACGGACTCGTGTGGATCACAAAGGATACCTTCGCCATGCGGTCGGTGTCGTCCATCACGTCGTCGCTCTGGTAGGTAGGCTGGCTGCACCTTGAACTGCTTGAAGGTCTCCGCCGTCACCTGCATCCCCCACGCGCCGCCGACTGTCATCGTGAACTCCTTGAGCGTGACCAGGACTGGCTTCATGTGCTCTGGAAGGGCGGCTTCGTTCTTCATCAACTCGATCAGGCCTTCCACGAAGCTGGCAGCTACGTGTCCGCGCGGTGGCCCCAACTTGCGTCCCTCGCCGTGCTCCTTGGCCTTGCGCCCGTGCTCGCGCCCCGTTGCGAGGCTGGACTGGACGGCGTCGTTGGTGAGGCCGATCAGCCAGACGTCGCCTACGTTGTTGTTCATGTCCCTGATCGCCGCACTGTTCTGGAGGGTCAGCTTCTGAAGGGCTTTCATCTCGTCGCGATGATCCCCCGTCATCGCCCCCCTCCCCCCTCCGCCTCCGCCTCCACCAGGGGGTGTCCCGCCGTTGCCGCCCTTGCCCCGGCCCGAGTTCGCCGCCTTCGTGCCTCTCGCTGCTGTTCCTCGCTCTGGCCCTCTCGCTCCGCGCTTGCCCTCGGTCCGCCAGACCATGCCCTGGTCGCCCATGACGAGGAGGATGGATACTGTGTGCTGCTTCGCCTCTGGGCTCGCGGATCTGATCTGGGCTTGCTAGGTGACCCTTGACGTGTTGCTGGTACTCCGCTAGAGTTTGAGCCTCTTGGTTACATGTTCGACATACCAGTGTGCTAAGTTCATGGACCTCGTGGGACCATCGGGAACGGTCTTTGTGGCAGATACCGCGTTGGTGGACCGCTCTCGTGCAGTGGTCCACCTCCGTCCGTCGGTTGGCAAACGTACTTTAACACCACGGCCGCTGGCTTGTTACGATTACAGACGCCGCCAGTGGTCGCACGTTGTGTGTCTCTCGGCCATGCCCAGCGATCGCAGCGTCTGTAGGGAACCGTTGTCCACAGGCCGTCGCGTGCCCTTGATCGTCTCTCGTCACATGGTCACACCAGTGTGGTTTGAGTAGTTCCTCCTCCTTCTCCCCTCCACCCGGTTCCTCCTCTCTCCGTGTCAATACGTCCCAGGTTCGCTCGTGGTTGTAGAGTACCCGTGGGTCCGTTTGGAGCCGATTGGAGTGCTCAAGGGTGCCCTTCTGGAGGATCGCCACATCCGAGGTCCTTGTATCAAACCACACCATGCTCTCGTCTATCGCTGCAAGTGCCTAGAGGTCCTCTAGGTACTGGTGAGCCCATCGGGTGGAGCTGGTGTCGATCCATGTATCGTCCCTCAGTCGTCGTAATCCCTGGCTGGCGTCGAGCTTCGATGTACCGGATACATTTGCTACTACCGATCCGTGATCTCGTGGGTAGCTTGCCCAGCTCTGGTACCACCTAAGCCATCGTACTCTAAGGGCCACCGCCGTCCGTTCCAACCTCCACTATCGAAACATCTGGGCGTTCGTGATACACCTCATCGTGCCGTCTTCTCTCTCCCATGGCATAGCCCCTCCCGCCATCGTCCTGAGATACTTCGCAAGCACGCTGTCCAGCGCATCGGTGTGGGAACGCTTGAGTGTAAGGGGGGTCCGTCCGTTTAGCGCTGCTCCCAGTACGAACGCCATACACATCAGCCGTTTGATCTGTCGTGGAGTATCTGACGTCCAAAAGATGCCGCAGTGTCTCCACGCCACACGGGCAGCTGCTTTACGGCGGCTTACCTCGCCTGCGAGCCTTTGGCTTGCAGGCAAGTGTGGTCCTACGGTGGGTGGACTAAAAGTGTCCACACGTGTCTCACCAAGATCTTGAGTCATTAAAGTATGTCGGACCAACATGTATACCCGCCTTCCCCTAAATTCAAAGTTGACGGGTTATGGCGGTAGGCCAAAGGCCGGGGACAAAATGTGGACGCTTCAATTTTGGGTTTGGGGGGGAGGGGGATGCGAAGTGAGGGCATTTCGGAGTTGTGGTTGCTATCATGTTGCATCGCCTTCCCGCCATGGGTGTGGACACTTGTTGTCCGGATTTTTTGTCCGGACATAGTCGGCGACAAATAGTGCATAGTCGAACCTCGCTGTGGTGAGCCGCACACCTGCAACTCTCCCTTGCAAGGCTGTCGGTGGGTGGTCGATGTCCCTCACAATGTTGGACCCTAGGACTTTATTATTGCAGATGGCGACCCCGCAGTTGTTGTTGGTCCACTGTCCCTTCTTTGCTCCGAACTGCTTCACCCCGTGATATGGTAGGATGTTGCGTTGAGACGCTTCCGTCCTCGCCCATCGACAGGTGCCACTGAGCAGTAGAATGTCCCAGCTGCGTAGTTCAAAACTAATGTCCTCTAAGCGCTCCAGACTGGCAGCATCCATTAGGTTGTAATAGCATATCTGCATGGCGACGCACGAGGACGAGAACCATGGACGCCCCCCAGGCCCCAGTGTCGCTCGGGCCTACGGTTGGGGGCGCGATGTCGCTGGTGTACGATTGTATATGAGGTTGGGTCACTCTAGATCCTAACCTCAGCCCAGCGGCGTAGGAGGAGGAGGAGGAGGAGGAGGAGGAGGAGGAGGAGGAGGTGGCTGCGGTGGAGGAAGAGCAGCAGCGGGAGAAGGGGAGGAAAAGAACGAGGAAGGGAGGAGGAGGGGGAGGAGGGGGAGAAGGAGGAGGAGGACGAGGAGGAGGAGGAGGAGGAGGAGGAGGAGGAGGAGGAGGAGAGGGAGGTCAGAAGGACGAGGAGGAGAAAGCTTCTTGGGGCCCTCTTGGGGCCTCCTGGGGGGGCCTCCCGGGAGCAGCCTGGGGGGCCCTCTTGGGGGCCTCTGGGCGGCCTCCCTGGCGGCCTCCCTGGGGGCCTCTTTGGGCCGCTTGGGCCGTCTCAGGGAGGCTGGTGGCCCGTATCCCCCTCTGCTCCTCCATCTCCTCCTCCTCCTCCTCCCCTCCTCCTCTCCTCCTCCCTCCTTCCTCCTCCTCCTCCTCCTCCCCCTCCTCCCTCCTCTCTCCTCCTCCTCTCCTCCTCATCCTCTCCTCCTCCCTCCTCCTCCTCCTCCTCCTCCTCCTCCTCCTCCTCCTCCTCCTCCTCCTCCTCCTCTCCTCCTCCTCTCCTCCTCCTCCCCCCCCCTCCTCCTCCTCCTCCGCCCTCTCCTCCTCCTCCTCCTCCCTCCTCCTCCTCCTCCTCCTCCTCCGCTCCTCTTGACGGCGCTGTGCCTCCTCCTCCTCCTCCTCCTCGTCATCCGCTTCTTGGTGCCCTTGGGGGCCTCATGGGCTGTCTTGGAGCCATTGGAGCCATCTTGGAAGCTCCTTGGCCTGTGTGGGGCGGTCGGAACCCCAAATGGGTGAGAACCTCGAGCAAATCTTTCAAAACCGATGCAAAACTCATGGAGTTTGGCCTCCTCGGGCCGTCGTGAGGCCGTCTTCGGAGCCTTTTGAGCCGTCCTGCGCCATCTGGAGCCGTTTGGGTGTCGTCTTGGCTGTCTGGGAAGCCGCCCTGAAGGCTATATTGGCCATCTGGAGGCCGACAAGAGCTCCCGAAAGCAATTTCTGTGGGACGACTTCTCGACCACGCGTGCGCTTGGGGGGGGGGTGCAAGGAACCATTCAGGAACCTCCAAGACAACAGGCGAGCGTTCTAACATGACCCACTCCGTGCCGGCACGGTGGCGGATGTAGTGCAATCTGCGTGGTGCAGTCTGTGTGGTGCAGTCTGTTCGGGGGTTGCTAAAGGTGCCCCTGGCCCAAGGTGCCCCCAGCTTTTCGCTCCGTTTTGGAGACCCCTGGGACCCCCTTGGCCTCATGCGGGATGCGTTGGAGGCCGTGGAGGCCCCCTTGCAAATCCTGGGGGCACCTTGGGCCAGGGGCACTTCTAGCAACACCCGATCTGTGTTGTGCGATCTGCGCGGTGCCACGTATGCGGTACATTCTGTTGTGCAACGACGGGCGGCGACGAGGCGGCGACGGGGCGCTCGGCCGACGGCGAGAGCAGCGCCGCCAGACCAACCCGCCGGCCCAGGCGACGGGGGGGCGACGGGGCGGCGACGGCGAGAGCATCGCCGCCAGACCGACCCGCCGGCCCAGGCGACGGGGCGGCGACGGGGCGGCGACGGCGAGAGCATCGCCGCCGCACGAACGAAATGGGTACGGAAAGAGTGAGTACAATGCCCAGCAGCGGATCCTGTTCCTTTTGAGCAGGACTCGCTGTCCACGCCGCCGCGGCCTGTGTCCATGCGAGGCAGAAGGCCGCCTGCCCAACAGCGGCCGCTGTCGGTTTGGGACAGCATTTGTTGCTGGGCATTGTACTCATTCTTTCCCTACCCATGTCGGGCGTCCAAAGCCGTCAGACCGACCCGCTGGCCCAGGCGACGCGGCGGCGACGGGGCGGCGACGGCGAGAGCATCGCCGCCAGACCGACCCGCCGGCCCAGGCGACGGGGCGGCGACGAGGCGGCGACGGGCACAGACGGTGCTGGCACACACGGGGTCTTAGCAGTCAGCTCGCAGAGGGAGGATGAGCGGCTTTCCAAGGCTGCCCTCGCGTCCTTGTCCCTGTGGCTCAGCCTTGATCACCTTCGCTGGCCCCCATCGAAAACTGCCGGCACGGCCCTCCAAGGCCCTTGCGTCCTCACCGCGCATCGTCATTGTGCGTGGTCACTGCCTCTTCGTCTCCCCTCCTCGGCCGAAGCGGTTTCTCCTTCCTCGTCCCTCCTCTTTTGTTTGCCTCTCCTCCTTCCCAGCGCAGGTGGTGATCCCAGCGGTCCTCTTTGCACGTGTTCAGTATTTGAGGCATTCTCTATAGTTTCTCTCGCGATCGATCCCGCATTCGCTGGGCGGGGCTCTGGACATGCATGCGTGGCGTTGGCTGCCCTTGCAGTCGCCTGACCAGTTGGTGAGTTGGGTTGTGTGGCTTCGGCCCTCCGCCACAACTTAACTTTCAATATGATCCTCTTCCCTTGCTTCGTTTCTTTGAGCTGTAGCTTCCTTGCGCCTCCCTCCCTTGCCCCCCTTTCCCCCTCCCTTTTTCTTACCGCTCCTGGATGTTTTCTATCAGCCACGCCGCCGCATTGGGCTTCAACGTAGTATGCACTGTGAGTCTTCCTTTCTTGTGCCGTTGTGCGAGGCCTCATTCTACAAGTGGTCAATGGGACCAAATGGGAGTTGATGCGCACAGTGTGCCATTATGCGCCCGTCCGATTCGAATCAGATGTTTGTACGGTCCTCTTCGTGCAAATGTTCCTGCACCGATGCACCGGTTCCATGACACATGCATTTTCCTCACTGTGCGAGCCCATGGTTTTTATATCGGGCCTGGAAGGCTGTGTGAGGCCGCGTGCGATTGGCAATGCGCACGGCTATTCTGGAAGCTCCGTGGTTTCGCGATTGCGCCGCCGAGCTTATCATCGTGCTGCTGTGTCCGCTTTCCCCCCCTCCCGTCCAAAATTGCGCTGCAAAAGCCCTCCACATCATCCCTGAACACCTCCTCCTCCCGATTATCCTCTCCGTCCTCCTTTCCCTATCTTGGTCCCTCGTCCGTCCTTCCGCCTCCTCACACCTTCCCCGTGCATTCTTCCTGCCCCCGTTTCTTCTCTTCTCGTCTGCTCCTCCTGGCGCCATCCACGTGCGCAAATGGCAAGGCATGCCCACTCGAAGTAGATTCTTCCCCACGGCCTCTTTCCTTCCTCTTCCTCCGCCCCCCACCCTCCCGCCCTTCCCCACCACGCCCTCCCAAACATTCGCGCCGGAGCGCGCGAGCGTGAGAGTAATGAGATAGGGATGATATGCGCGGGCACGGGGGGGGGGGTGGGGGGGGGCATTGCAGGTGTACTCTGGCACGGGGAGAGGAGGATGAAGGAGGACCAGGGGAAGGAATCCTTCCCCCGGTCCTCCTTCATCCTCCTAAGTAAGGAAGGGATGATGATGATAATGATAATGGGGATGATAAGCATGAGGATGAGGATGAGGACCAATGCGAACCCAAGAGTCATCAAGCACGTTGGAATAAACCCTCCCTCCAAGCTCCCTCTTCATAGGCCCCGACAGCGCTTAATTTCCACAGGAAACTGCCTCATTGAAAGACAACCGTCTGGAGACCCTGAAGCATGCCAAAACACGGTTCTCGGGATTTGAAAGCCACGGATCAACCTGACTGTTGCGTCTTGACGATCCTGAATCGCGCCAGAACGCCATCCTTGGGACTTCAACACCGCGAATCAATGTAACTGTTGCACCCTCGTAATCCAGAATCCTTCCAAAACATAGTTCTTGGTACGTTGACCATGGGAATCCGTGAAATGCGGGTAAATATTAAAATCAATGTGCGCGGCGCTTAGGCGAGAGCCACATTTTGAAACAGAACCGCCCTCAATCCGTGAAATCAAACGATTGCGCGCGGCGCGAAGGCGAGAGCAGCATTTTGAAAACCATGCGCCCTCAATCCGTGAAACCCTTGTAAAGTTTTATAACGAATGCGCGTGGCGCTAAGGCGAGAGCCACATTTTGAAACCGACCCGCCCTCCATCTGTGAAACTGTTGCCAACTATTAAGCTCTACCGTCATATATGTGAGGAAGTGTCAGGCGAAACGCCTGGCCCGCCCTAAAAACTGGCTTCGGGGTGCGACAGGGGGAAATTATTCATAAGGAAGAGGAATTGAGGAGGTGGAGGCGGAGGTGGAGGCGCAACAGGAAGCGGCGGTGTGGTGGGTGATCTTCGCAGCCCCTCTCCTCCCTCTCGTCCCCTTCATTCCTCTTCCCTGACTCTCTCCGCCTCCCTCTCTCCCACTCTCCTTCCCTCCTCCTCCTTCCCTCCTCCTCCTCCCTTGTCCTCCCCCTCCTTGTCTCTCTTCCTCCATCCTCTCGCCTCCTCCCTCCTCCTCTTCTGGGCACTGTCGCTTCTCTTCCTCCTCCTCCTCCTCCTCCTCCTTCTCCTCCTCCTCCTCCTCTCCTCCTCTCTCCTCCTCTCCTCCTCTCCTCCTCCTCCTCCTCCTCCTCTCCTCCTCCTCCTCCTCCTCCTCCTTCCCTCCTCCTCCTCCCCTCCTCCTCCTCCTCCTCCTCTCCTCCTCCTCCTGTCCTCATCCTCCGCGTCGCGCCCCCCCCCCTCAGCCTTCCGCCTCCCCCCCCGAGCGTGAGGAGCGGACGCAGAACCGCGCCGAAGGTCCAGGGGGCGGGCGCCGCCAGGCGCCGCGCGGAGTGGCCGCCGAGGCCGCGGGCTCGGTCTGCGTCGCCGTCGGCCCGGGCGTGGGTGTCGATGGCGCCACCATCGCCGGTGGAGGAGGAAGCGGAGGAGGAGAGGGAGGAGGCGGAGGGGAGGAGGAGGAGGAGGAGGAGGAGGAGGAGGAGGAGGAGGAGGAGGAGGAGGAGGAGGGGAGGAGGAGGAGGAGGAGGAGGGGGAGGAGGAGGAGGAGGAGGAGGAGGAGGAGGAAGGAGGAGGAGGAGGAGGAGGAGGAGGAGGAGGAGGAGGAGGAGGAGGAGGAGGAGGAGGAGGAGGAGGAGGAGGAGGAGGAGGAGGAGGAGGAGGAGGAGAGGAGGAGGAGGAGGAGGAGGAGGAGGAGGAGAGGAGGAGGAGGGGAGGAGGAGGAGGAGTTGGGGGAGGAGGCGGAGGAGGAAAGGGAGGAGGCGGAGCAGGACGATGCGGAGGAGTGGCGGGGATGGAGTGGGGAAGGAGGGGAGGGCAAGGGGCAAACGGGGGCGTGGGGGGGGGGTGCGAGGCGGTGCTAGGGGAGGAGGCGGCGGAGGAGGAGGAGGAGGAAAATGACCCATGGATTACTCCAAGCCGACGCAGTCGGGAACGCCTCAGAGGGGGACCATTCAAGAACCAAATAGTTCAGAGGCGAAGCCTGGATATGATCCCGACAGCCACGGCCTGGCCTATGTGAAGCAAGATCCCAGCTAGGTGGGGCCATCGGCGGAACGTGCGAGAAGCAGGCGGCATCGGCATCAGGCGCCGGATGAACCAAGCAACGTCCGAGCCCGACGTCACCAGCTGGTGTCTCCAGCTGCGAGGGCGATGGCGGCAAATGTGGTGTCGGCGCGGAGCAAGAGCCCAGCGACATCAGCAACGCACGTGGTGAGGGGCGAGCGGGTGCGCGTACGTGCGCGGCACGCCGAGGGAGTCGAGGCGAAGGGCCCGCGGCAGCAGCCGGACGCCGGTTGCGAGAGAGGCTGTCTTGGTCTGCGCGCCGAAGGTCGCCCAGGAACCAGCACAGCGGCAGCAGGTTCGAGGGGGAGCGCGAGGACGCAACGCGTTGGCTGGAGGCACCCTTGGCGCGAGGAGAGGGCAGGGGTCGCAGCAGGCCCCAGCGGTGCCGCGCAGTGCCGAGGCGCAGTCGGGCCCCCATCATCAGCAGCGGCTGAGTGGCGTTGAGGCGCAGGCGCAGGCGACTTCAGAGCCCCAGCGTCACTGGTCACGACGAGGGTGGGGGCCATGTAAGGCAGTGGCAGCGGGCGCAATGAGAGCAATCCCGAGCGGTGGTGGACTATCATCGGGTATGAGGCCGGCCAGTGCGCAATCGATTCCCAATGGCAACCAAGCGTTCCAAGGCGAAGGCAGAGCCCGATGCGAGGTGAGCAGATCATTGCTGAAAGCGTCGGCGGTGCTGGTTTTGAGGACCCCGACGTCTTCGCTAGCGAAATCGGAAGGAAGAGTTTCTTCAGGCCTTTCAGCGGGGCTTGATGCGTTCGGTGACAACAGCCGCCAAAGACGTCCGACATGCCACAACGCTGGGAGAACGCGGCATGTGCTCTGACCCCACGGGAGCATACCAGGGGAAGAAACGTTGGCCCGGGGCCTCCCGTTGGCGCGGCCACGCCGCCGCCGCCGAGCCGTGTTGCGCGAAGGTGTCAAGCCCGCGCAGGGTCGCGATGGAGGGCGGTGCGCACCAACTGCGCACCAACTGCGCGTAGCAGTGGAGGACAATTCCTCTGGGTTCTTCTGGTCCTCCTTCTCCACTTGCTGCTTCCCTTCGTCTACGCCGCTGTGTTCCGCCCGCGCTCCCTCCGCCCGACCAGGGGCACAGGTCGAGGTGAGGAGGAGAATGGACTCCTTGTGCACTCGCCTCCTGCTTCCCTTCGTCGTGCTACCCTGTCTCCTCCCTCGTACTCACCCTTTTCCTCCCGCGACGGCGACGACCAGCTCGACGTCGGCGGCGGCGACGACGACGACGACGTCGACGATCAGCTCCACGACGACGCCGACAACGACGCCCGGGCCCGACGCCGCAGCCGACGACGACGCCTGCGCCGACGCCGCCACCGACCCCGACCCCGACGCCGACCCCGCCGCCGCCACCGCTGCCGCCACCGCCGCGGCCGACGACGACGACGACAGCGACGACGACGACGACGACGACGACGACGACGACGACGACGACGACGACGACGACGACGACGACGACGACGGCGGCGGCGGCGGCGGCGGCGGCGGCGGCGGCGGCGGCGGCGGGCGGCGCTCAACGATAGGTGGCGCCAGCGGCGCCTGCCGCCGCGGGTGGCGCGGGTGGCGCCAGCAGAGCCGCCGTCGCGGAGTGCGAGGCGCTGGAGGCGAGGGCGGATAGTCTGTGCGCGTGGGCCTCGGCCGTTCCCGGGGGAGGAGGCGGAGGAGGAGGAGGAGGAGGAGGAGGAGGAGGAGGAGGACGAGGAGGAGGAGGAGGAGGAGGGCGGAGGAGGAGGAGGAGGAGGAGGAGGAGGAGGAGGAGGAGGCGAGGAAGGAGAGGAGGAGGAGGAGGAAGTGGAGGAGGAGGAGGAGGAGGAGGAGGAGGGCGGAGGAGGAAGAGGAGGAGGAGGAGGAGGAGGTGAGGAGAGGGAAGGAGGAGGAGGAGGTGGTGGAGGAGGAGGAGGAGGCGGAGGAGGCGGAGGAGTTCAGGAGTTCAGGAGTTCCAGGACAAAGCCCATGCACTCCTCATGAGGACCCCTCTTGGGCCCTACCCTTAGGCATGAGCTCGGCCTCATTAAAGACCTTAGGGAATAACCCCCGCTCAAGGCGATTCAGATACAGGGCACGGCTGGGGGCGACCTGATTCGTGCACCCCTTCCCCAAGCCCAAAAGCTGCTTACCCCCATACATACCACAGCACGCGCAGAACCAGATATTCAGGGTCTGGTGCAACCGCATGGTGTGGGAGGGGTCGACCCACCCCCCAGCAATGTGTACTCTCGCACCCCCAGGAAGCCCACAACATACGCCATCTAACATCACAGGGTTGAAACAACAGGACTGCCTCCAGGCCCGCGTCAGAGAGATCGAAGCGGATCCACGGCAGCGATGACACCGACGACCAGTCTCGTCGAGCTGCTGGTTGGATCCGAACAACGGCGCAGGCGGCGGCGGCGGCACCAAGACGGGGGGGGGGCCAGAACCAGGAGGGATGGCGGTTCCTCCAACACGGCTCTCGCCATTAGGCCCACGGCGACCATTCTTACCCCCACGTCTATGCCTGCCCACCATACGACTAGACTGTTCGGACTCACGAACCTGATCCTCAGCCTCCATTGCGTCAAGAGACGCTCTCAAGATACGCATGCGAATCCAAAACATATGGCGTCCGAGGGCAAGGATGGGGCTGCAGCCCAGCTCGCCAGGACATCGGCCGCCTGATCCCCTCACACCAGCCAAGAACTGGCCTTCCCACGAACTACGTCTTCGGCGCCCTGATGGCTGTGCGTGAACAGAACGGTGACATGCGATCTCTTTCTGCCTGCCATCTCTTGTCCGATTTCTGCCCACAAATCACGATTGACTCCAGCAGGCTTCTGACCAAGGTGAGCAGACCAACCATCATACACCGATCGATTGTCAGTGATATACACTACGTAATTTGAAGCCCACTGCACAGCACGTAAAAACATGATCAGCCCGCCTCTTGGCACCGACTGTTGGCGCCCAGGCAAACTGCCTGACGCGGTGCTGACCAGCTGCGTCTCGTACACATCATTGAACAGTTCTAGCCCAGCTCCGATCCGTCTAAACTTGGGGTTGCCAGAATCGTCTCCTCCGCTCGCGTCGCCAAAGAGCAGAATTGGTCGCTGCTGGGACCCAGCCCCTAAGTAACCTGTGAACACCCCATCATCATAATCGGCCGTCCACCAGCAGTCGTCCTCAGGTGGTGCAGGGACCTGGGTGGGGGCAGCAGGCAGCAACCCACGGAGCCAGATGGCCTCATCGGCCTCGTGTTGCGCGTACGCCTGAGTAAGCAGGAAGTCCGACTTTTCGTAGGCCACTGCACCACAAGTCGCCTTACACGCCCAGATGTGGTGAACGGCCGATTCTGGACAGCAGTTGCATCGAGAACAAAGTGGATCCACCGACGTCTTTGTTGCCATGGCTGCCCGTCGCTCGCAAGGCCATGACCCGCCCGCTGCAATTGTCGTAAGCATCTCAGCGAGCCGACGTCCTTGCGGAGCTTGCTCGAGGTGGTGCAGGGGTAGCCGAAGGGACACCATACCCGCCCCCTGGCGCAACCCTGCCCCACCATAGTGAGCCCCCTCCTTCTGTCACAGCAACTGTTCAGAAATGGTATCAAAATCTGCTAAGAACAACGGCAGACCATTCAACGCCATGACCTCATAATCTTGCTCCTCAGGAAATCGCCATTCAGTTCCGTCTGGCATGACCCACAATGTCAGTGTCCTGGGGTCCCAGCCCCGCCCCAGCAGGCAAACGATAATTGTCGACATGGGTCCTCTGACATTGCGTGACCCCCGTGACCGTGGTATACTTCGCAAGCGCTCCACAATGGAACTCCAGACTCGATGCACACCTTTGCGAATGGTAGGACAGCTGAGCCACGGTTTGAGCCAAGACTCCAGACACGCATGAGGATACTTGATACCAGGGTCCCGCCCTGGCTCGCGAATGTCCAGCAGTGAAATTTTACACCGGCCTCGTCCGCCGTTGCTGATCACCGCTGCCAGACTCCATCGGGTCTGTTCGAGCTCGACCCCGAAGAGGCCATGAGCCCGATGCCCATACGTACCAGCTGCTGCCGCACTCGTCCTCTGCAACATGCTAGTGACACGGTAAGCGCGAGTGGCACGAGCATATCTCAATATTTTCGTGTGCAGCTTCTGACGTTTGAGCACCCTCTTCGCGCGTCTCATCCTCGTATGGCGCCCTCCTCCTTGGTCGATGTCCAGGAAGTGAGCCTGCAAAGCTTCGCGTACACGAAAGCCCCTCAACTTGAGTCGCCTCGAGATCTCCTTCGCATCGCTATGCGACGAGCACGCGACGACTGACTTGGGAGAAGCATCCAGTTGCCAGCGGGCTAGCTCTCACGCGCATCGGCTAAGCAAGCCGTGACGCGCGTTCGCAAAGTCTCGCTACGCACAACCAGTCTTTGTGATAAATCGTCAACCCAGATCCTGTGGCTGAGCCCCACATGTACCTGAGAAATCTCGGAAAGAATGACATGTGTCATGCAGCGAGCGAAACGAGTGCCGCTGCGTAGCCCTTGAATGATCGATCGCCCCACCAAAAATGGCTCACAAACCGTGCCGAACTGCTCCAGAGTCCTCGGCGCCGTGCACTGCGCTACCTCTAGATACAGAACAGCAGGTGGGCAACCCAGGCGGAGGGCCGCCTGGATCAGCAAGTCCCACTGGATCCCGTCGTAGAAGCCCTTGATGTCCAGCATGCCGTGGGCGGACGAGGTCTGCATGGCAGCTGCCACTTCGTCCCCGAGGGCGCGGTGAAAGGCCTCCTGGAGGGAGGCATTCCCTAGGGCCACTGCGTCACAGCCTTCCTCCGTCACACCGGCCCACTCACGCACGTGCTCCTCGCGGACAGGTGACCGCAGGCGGGCCTTCGTCGATGCCAGCCCGATGGCCTTGTCGCCATCGGCCTTCTTGGGGAGGAGCTTCCCCAAGATCAACTGTGTCTGGTGTGGCCACGCGAGAGTGCCTTCGATATAATTGAAACACCAGCGAGCTCCGTCAAGCCCTGGTCGGGGACGCGCTCGATGTCCACGGGCGTCAGGCGGTCCACGCCAATGCCCGTCTTCGCCTTCATGCGATGCGCTGCAGCGCGCACGTCGGCTCCCGTGATGAGGGAGCGACTCATCTCGTGCAGCTTCAGACGCCATCGCAACCGCTTCCTGCAGCCTGCTGATGTCCTCAGGTTGGCGCCTCCGCATCGCCTGCCAGCGGGCTCCCTTGGCGCCCAAGATGCCCCGAGGATTCGACAACGCGTTGAGCGCCGTGGCAACCTCCAGCTCGGGCAAGGGTTCCTCCTTCAAGGAGCCGCAGACTGCACCCCTGGAGGCCCGGTCCGTGAGCCAGCCCTTGAACTCATGCAAGGACTCACGCACCGCCCGACGCTGCGCCCGCCGTTCAACCCTCTCGCTGTGCTCGAAGAAACCCTCCAGGACACGGGGCGCGCACCCCTCAGCGTTGCGCAGGAGGCTGACCCACTCGTCTACGGCAGGCTCCACACCAGGGCGAAGGACGCGCCCCACGTGGTCAGGTCGGTCCTCTGCCAGACGCCTGCAAGTACCGCACAGCTGAACCAACTGCCGCTGGCCGTTGTCCCGACCCAGGTGCCGAGCGATCTGCTGGGGGACAGACGAAACTCTCTGCCACCGCGAGGTGATGCGATCACGAACAGGGGTTTCTCGAGATCGCCCAGAATGCTTGAATGTCTCGATTGCGAAACGGCACCCTTCAGCTCGGCTGGGACCTCCAGGCTGCGAAGACTGATGGTGCTCGTGAACGGCCTGCTCTAGGGTGCGAATCCACTGGCCGTGCCAAGTACACATGGAGCCCACATGGTGTGGGTTGAGCCGAAAGGCTACAGACGAGGCAAAGCACACAGGCGGGGGCCCCGCAAACAGGACTTGATTTTGTACACAGCACTGCTCCCACACACCACTGGGGATGTAAAACGAAGGCTCAAGCTGGCCAGGATTTGCCTCGACAGTTTTTGCCAAAGCCGTGTTTGGAGCTCGTGCGAATATACCAGAGGATCGGAAGACAGGCGCAACCTTGTCAGACGGGACTTCCGAACTTAAAGGGGAGGCTTCGTGCGAGGTACATCGTTTGGCTGGGAGGGGGGTCTGAACACTGACACTATCAGGAGACTCGACACTGGCTGTATCAACTGAAACAGGCGCGACTGAAGCAGAAATAGGCGGAGCAGAGAGAGGCTGGCAACCACCAGGAGCGACGACGCGGATGACCGATGGCGCCTCACTTTGGCTGGCGCTTTCTGCGCTCACGAAGTTGGCTTGATCAGCCCACGGATCCTCCTCATCATCGGGCCAGGCTTCAGCCTCGAGATCTTCGAAATGAGCAGACTGCAACTCATGTGGCACCTGATCAGTGCTGCGAGGCTCGGCCTGTTGACTGACTGAAGGAGTCCCTGTGTGATCTCCAAATCAATGCACAATTTTCTCATTGCGGGCTACTCGTGAAACCTCCTGCTGCAGACGGCGGCTGCGCTTGGCAACAGAAGGCTTCGAGCCTACAACGGGCACGGCACACGGGCGAGCAACCTGCGACACGCGACTAGCGTAGACGAGGCGCCTGGTCTGGAGCTGCTGCCCAGTGCGGCGTAAATGAAGTGATAGACCGGTGCGCGGCCTCCATGGAACGTCCAATTGCGGCTGGAGCGAGGGAATGTATTGCAAGGCGGCCTCGCTGACGATGGCGTAGTCCAGCATGCTCCCCAGCTTGCTGGCATCGCACGTGTACGACACCCCTTCAGGGGCGATGATGCGGCCGACGACCTGGTCCAGGAAGCCCGACCGCTGGATGACGTGAGGCTCCGCGTTCCAGTCGCCCAAGCAAATCCACGGTAGACGAAGCCCTCGTAGAAGCCCTCCGAGACGATGGAACCTGGCAAGGTTGCGGCCCGAGAGGCCGACGGATGTGAACCCGTAGCACACGCAGAGGACCACAGAGTAGCCCTGGAAGTGGAGGGTCGAAACGATGAAACCATCCAGCACCTGAAAGCCAGGCGCCTTCAACGCCGAAGACGACGTGGCCTCGCGCAAGGATGCTGCCTGCAAATGGCCACGCGCGAGCACCCACTCGCCCTCCTCGGTGGCCTTGTCGGCAGTAGCAGAAGATTGATGCCGACCGCTGGGTCGAGCTCCATTCGGTCTGAGCTTAAGCCCTGCAGCACGCGCACGAGCGTCCCACTTGCGAAGCTGTGACTCAGGAACGTGAGTCTCAACGATCCCCATGCACTCATGCGTCTTGCTGACGAGCTCAAGGTGGCCCCAGGCACGATCGCCCATGGCCGTAACGTCGCTGACAAAGACGCGGCCGATCCCCTGCGCGTCTTGGGACTCGGGCAAAACTGGCGCCTGGCAGCGCGGCGCCTTCCCCCCAGCGGGGCGCGCGGCCCCGGGCGCTGGCCGTCGGGCCTGCACCTCGGCACCCGTGGCTGCGCCCTTGCCCGCGGCCTTCTTCTGGTTGTCGGCCCTCGCCGCCGCCTCGGACTTGGGCGCCGACAGGCGGGCCGCCTCCTCAGCGATAGCCTGCTCCTGCACAGGGCTGCTGGCCTGCTGCTCCGCCTTGACCCCCATGCCTGCTGCTGGTGCCGCTGGGGCCGCCGCGGCCTCGGGCGCTTGAGGCGCGCTTCTTGGCCAAGCGCGCGGCGATGTCGCGCTTGACCTGCATGGCCTCGTCCAGCCACGAGTTCACCTCCATGTTCCTGGCCATGGACATAGCCTGCATCTTCTCGGGCTCATCCTTGATCGCCTGCAGCTGCTCCTTCTCCGATGCCTCGGCCTCGATCGCGTCGAGGTCGGAGAACAATCCAGTGCCCCGCGACACCTCGACCAGCGGCTTGGTCTCGGGCTCGGCAGCAGCGGACGGCGGCGTTAGCCCAGCGGCCCGCACCAGCGCCTGCGGCCCCTGCTTCCTGCCGAACTCCGCAGCAGCCACGGCATGAGCTGCCTTCTTTTCCTTCTCTTCTGCTGTCGCCAACGCCGTCTTGAGCCTGACGACGTTGGCCACCGCCTGATTGTGCTTGTTGTTGCAATCCTTCCAGACCCCCTCGACCTTGGATACCGTGCCGGCTGCCGAGAGCTGGGGGGCGGCCTTCGGCTGGGCCTCCGCGGACAAGGCGTCGACGCGTGCCTTGAGCGTCCGCGTGAGGGGGGTAATGGGAAAGCGCAATGGCCGCCAACAAGTGATCCGTCACCGACGTCTTGTCGTGCCATGGCGCAGAACTCTCGGCCGCGCCACCAGCATCGGCCTGCTTCTTGGACTTCGGGGCGAACGGTTTGACTGTCTTGCCGCATCTGCAGACGTTCTGAGCACGGGCCAACAAATCATTCCATTCACAGCGGTGGTATGAGCCACATCGGCTCCAGAGACGAGCCGAGCACGCGGCGGTGGACGTGGCGTAAAGCTCTGGCTTTGGTTATCGAACGGTTCCTGGGGAGAACGAAAACGAACGATATGCCTCTAGCGCCACGGGCAGGCACCAGAGTCAGCCCCAGGGTCCCTAGGGCCTAAATGGCTTGAGCGGAGGAGGAGGAGGAGGAGGAGGAGGAGGAGGAGAAGGAGGCGGAGGCGGAGGCGGAGGAGGAGGAGGCGGAGGAGGAGGAGGAGCAGGAGGAGGAGGAGGAGCAGGAGGAGGAGGAGGAGGAGGCGGAGGAGGAGGAGGAGGAGGAGGAGGAGCGGGAGGAGGAGGAGGAGGAGGAGGAGGAAGAAGAAGAAGAAGAAGAGGAGGAGGAGGAGGAGGAGGAGGAGGGGCGGACGGGAGGGAGGAACGCAGGAAGGAACGCTAGATTTGTCCCCTAGCACTTTGTGACTCTTTCTTTGACCCGCCCGTGTCATCGTTCACCGAAGGGGCCATCGCATTTAACGATGTTGTGCACCAGGTTTCTCGCCTCGCTTCAGGCGGAGCTGGCCAGTTGAGCCATGCTGGAATGAACTTCTGGCACAAAGTTCCATGATCGTGTAAGCCTGTCGTTATGTGGCCTGATGCGTACAAGAGAACAGAAAAGCTCAGAGAAGGGGGAGGGTGAGACGAGGAAACAAAGTTCACTGCCTATAGAGGCGGTGCCAGCGAGCGGTCAGGAAGGGGACAGGGGGGGGGGATAGAGAAAGAGAGAGAGAGAGAGACAGAAACAACGAACAAAAAGAGATGGAGCCAGGGAGAGAGAGAGAGAGAGAGAGAGAGAGAGAGAGGAAGAAAGAAAGACGTAGTGGGAGACGTGCTGCTTTCGTGCGCACGTGTCCCGCCCCCCCGCCCACAGGATGGCCGGTGGTGGGACGCCCCTGTTCGCGCTACATGCATTTGCCTTGGCTGCGGGCCCCCCATGCTCCGCGGGTGCTTTCCCGGCGCGAGGTCCGCATCGGCCGTCACTCGCCAGCCGCCACGACCGCGTTGTGCCGACCTCGCTCGCGGAGCGAGGGCGGCGAAGAGGGCCGACGGTCCTTGCTCAGGAGGGAAAGAAACACACAGACACAATTAATCGTCGATTCCCAAGAAAATATGGGAAGTTATGGGAAGTGGAGGGGAAGACAAACACCCAGAAAGGATCTTTTTATTTGTATGTATTTATTTGTGTGTCCCAGGGCCCCTTCACTTGCGACCTCTGGCCGCGCGGGTGGCGGGGATGGCGGTGGACGTTGACCCGATGGCCCACTCGGGTTGAGGGCGGGCGGAGGGCGGGGCTCATGCCGACTGCTCCTATTCGATTCAATGTGAGTTCGATCGATTCTGGTTCCCATTCGATGCAACTTGGGCTTCCGTTTTGGTAATTCCGAAGTGCCAATGTGGGCTTTATTACCATTGTCGACTCGCCGATTCGACGTATCCCTACTTGGCTCTCGATTCCCACTGGTCCGATTCACGTCTATCGCCGATCCGAATTATCGCTTCGATTCTGGGCTCTCCTGGCGGGGGTGGGTCGCCATGGAGAAGAGCGTCGGTCCTTGAAGTTTTTCGCTCGTTGTTCTCAGGCTGCCAGGGCCCCCAGGCCCCATGACCGTCAGAGAGCGACTCGGGATGAGAAGCTGGTCCAGGGAAGGTACTGGATTCCAGGACGCGTTTCCGCCAAGACTGCTTTCCCTTGTGCCAAGAATCGGCTCGGAAGGAGGGGGGGTCGGCCACGCGCAGAGGGGGCTAGGGGGAGGGGGAAGGCGTCTTAGGAGCACCCTGCCTCTTAGACGGCGTGGGCCTTGTCTGTAGAAATGAGGCCCGCGCCTTCGAAGAAGCAGTCTCCTTCTAAGAAGCCGTCTCCCCTCCCCCCATGCACACCCTTGAAATCAAACGCAAGGTTTTCATGTTGGTCGACGCGCGAAACGCGGCCCACGGGGTCCGACTGTTGTGCTGGCAGTCGCCAAGTTCGGCGCGAGCATTGGAAGTTTAGGGTCATGGGGCGTCGCCACGTCGCGGGAAAAGCTTGCGTCTAATTTTGAAGCGGGATGTACCCCCCTCTGCGCGCCGCCAGGATGGGTCCCCCTCCTCCCCCTCCTGACAGTTCTGCCCCCCGAGAGGTACTGAGGGAAAAGGGCCTCCTCCTCCTCGTCCTCCTCCTCCTCCTCCGCCTTCCTCATCCTCCTCATCCGCCTCCTCCTCCTCCTCCTGGCACTGAGGGGTGTGCCCCTCGTCGCCGCGCCTGGCTCAGAGCGCCCCGGGCCAGGCCCAGGGAAGAAGGCCCGATCGGCGGCGCGGCCTTTCGCGCGCAAGCTTGCCGCATAGGCTCTCGCGCGCAAGCGCCTTCTGTTCCGCGTCGCATGTACCGCGCTGGCGGCTCGTGTAAGCCGCGGCGTAAGGGCGCTGTGCCATCGTGCGTGAGGCCTGGTTCTTCTCGTCGCTCAGATGTCGAGGAGGTGGAGGAGGAGGAGGAGGAGGGGGAGGAGGAGGAGGAGGGGGTGGGTTGGGGGGAGGGGCGACGGCGGCGGCGGCGACGGTGGCGACGACCGAGGCGACGAAGGTGACGATGAAATTCCGAGGCGAGCGGCCGTGAGTTGGTCTCCGTGCTCCTTGGGGCGGTGTTCCGCAGGCACGCGCCTGAACGTGTCGCGGAGGTGCTTCGGATCGGTGCCGGGAAAGCCCCCCTCGCGGCACCCGCAGCAGCAGGCGAATGATGATGATGATGATGATGATGCTGATGATGATGATGATGATGATGATGACGATCATGATGATGATGATGATGATGATGATGATGATGATGATGATGCTGATGCTGATGATGATGCTGATGATGATGATGATGATGATGATGGTGGTGATGATGATGCTGGTGATGGTGATGGTGATGATGATGATGATGATGATGAAGATGATGATGATGATGATGATGATGATGATGATGATGATGATGATGATGACTATGCTGGTGATGATGATGACGATGATGATGAAGAGGATGCTGCTGCTGATGATGATACTGGTGATACTGGTGATGCTGATGATGATGATTGTGACGGTGAAGATGATGCTGATGATGACGACTGGTGATGATGCTGATGACGATGATGACTATGATGATGATGATGATGATGATGATGATGACGATGATGATGATGGTGATGCTGATGATGCTGATGTTGACGATGATGTTGATGATGCTGATAATGATGGTGATCATGATAGTGATATTAGTGATGGTGATGATGATTGTAACGATGATGCTGATGATGATGATGGTGGCGATACTGATGATGAGTATGATGAATACGATGATCATGATGACGATTATGTTGATGAAGACGATGATTGTGATTGTGACGATGATGCTGGTGATGATGGGGATGATGATGGTGATGGTGACAGTGATGGTCATGATGATGGTATCATGATGATGGGGATGATGATGTTGGTGGTGATGTTGATGGTGATGATGGTGATGCTGGTGAGGGTGAGGCTGTTGATGCTGGTTGTGATGATGATGGTGGTGATGGTGACGATGCCGATGCCGATGGTGATGATGATGCTGATGCTGATGGTGGTGATGCTGATGCTGCTGCTGATGATGATGATGATGCTGCTGCTGCTGATGATGATGATGATGATGATGCTGATGATGATGATGATGATGATGATTACGATGATGGGTAGGATCATGCTGACGATTTTCTGATACAGACAATGATGGTGAGGAGGCGGGTGAGGAGAAGGAGGAGGTGGAGCAGGAGGATGAGGAGGAGGAGGAGGAGGGGGAGGTGGAGTTAGGTATTGAGTTTGCAGTATAAGTTGAGCATTGGCGGAACGATCAGGTGCAGCAGAAACAGGAGGAGGAGGAGGAGGCGCATGAATGAGGATGTTCGAGGCGGAGGGAGGAGGGTGGAGGCGCGGTTGGGCCCTCACCTTCGCGCTCGCGCCTCGACGACCAGCTCCCTCCGGCGGGTGGCGCGGGCAGCCAGCTGCACGAAGCCTCTGGAGGTCCAGGAAAGCCTCCGCACGGCCCGCCCGCGGGCCAAGGTCCTCGCGCGAGCTCCCCGAGAAGCGGGCCAAAGTTCGCGCCAGGTAAGCAGGACCCCCGTTGAGCGGGCCCCTGCTCAAGATCAGCGACGGGTCCCCGCCACCAAATCGGGCGGCACTTGCGGGGGAGCCTTCCCCGAACTGTGGATTTGGGCGACTGCCCACCAGATCCAAGGATCCCTCATCCGTGAGTGCGCGCCCGAGATACGCAACCAGCTGCGCGGCGTCAGTTCGGGTGCCCCGATTAGCGTTGAGATGGCCCAGCAGGCGGTCATCACTCTCGGATGGCAGTTGCGCCGTGTTTTGAGCAGCTACGGAGGTGATCGCGTGTCCGCCGCGGCCATGCGCATGGTTCAAGCTAGGTGCGTTCGCGCCGTATCTGGCATCCTACCCTTCCCACCCTTCCCTTCCCATTGCGTTGGTTTCTTCTCCATCTGCCGATGGGTGTCATGGCGGACCTGGAGTCCTCGTAGGACCCTTCTCGTGCTATGCGCGATATGAACATCGAAGTTGTGTAAACTTGAGGAGAAGATGGCGGATTAGCAGGAGGAAGAGGAATACTATGGGGGAGCAGGAGAGGATGACCTGCAAAAGCAGAGACAGCGGGGGGAGCAGTGGGACCAGGGAAAGGGGGGGCGGGGAACGAAATGCGGCGACACCGACGAGGAACCATTCGGATGCAGAAGTGTGGCCCGCGCAGGGGCGAGCGCGTTATTCTGAACGACGGTGGCACGGCGCCGACACTAACATGAGGCTAGCGCTGCAGACAGAGCACCATTTTGACACACCAGAAGCGCTCCGATGTTAAACAAACCTTGGCGAAGGACTCGACCATATGCACTTGTGAGTACCGCGTCGTGGGTACCGCTCTCGGTGGAGTTCCCTATGGGGCCACGAAGCGCGTGATGGGGTGTCCTCTAACAGGTAGGGGAGACGCATGCAGCCGCGGCCACTGGGGCCTTCGATGGAGCTCTGCGGGGCCACGGCTTGCACACAGACGGCGGCTGTTCCTTGCCGCGTGTGTCCGTGGCGTTTTTCGGGGCCCGCGCCGTGCAAAAACGGATGGGCGGGGAAGAAGTCAACCTCGCACAGGAACCAGGGTCCTTCTACGTGGGGAACCTGCGCGCGCTGGACCACAACGTGCGCCACCACGACGAGTTGTTGCATGCCTTCGACCCAGTTGCTGCAGCAGCACAGGGCCACGTTGAAGCTGCAACAGCCGGCAGTGGGCTGCAGATCGCTGTCATGATCCCCGCCGACGTGTTTCGGAGTGTGAGGGTACGCGAGACCAACGCCACGCCTGGCCCAGTAGATTTTCTCCGAGTCGTCAACTGGGTCGTGGCCCAGCACTTGGCCGAGATCTCCCTGACCGGACGGCGGTGCTGGCAGAAACATCTCGGGCCGATGTTGTGAGTGGTGGCTCCGCCGAGTAAGCCCAGTGCGGCGCTGGCCAGGCTAGAACAGTATGAATTGCGGATGATTCGTAACAAAATCAGGTCCCTGCCATCTGTCTTCCCCTCCCCCATCCTCCTCCGAAGGTCGGCGCTCTTCTGGCGATCCTTGGTGATGATGATGACGACGATGCTGATCGACGGCGGTGGTTTGTGGAAGAGGAGGTCATGACGATGATGAGGATGATGATAATGGTTGGGAGGGGTGTGGACATGAATGGGCGACCGAGAACTATCGAAACCCGATCGAGTCAATTGTCAATTGAGTAGAAAAAAGCCCGCCTTACCGACAGCCGGTAATTGCAGATGGTTGGGTGCATCGCCAGGAGAGTTGCTTGCGGTCTCTTGGTTGTCCGCGTGCATATTTCATCAACGGCCGACCCGCCTGTTTTCCGCTTGCCCAATGATTTGCCATTCTCCATCCTGCCTGGTCACTGGATTGTCTGCGCGGCTGCCCGACCATTGTCGGCACGTTCCCAAGCATGGGTGTCTGCGCACGTGTTTGCAAACACGATTCAGGGCATGCGTGCGTGTTGCTCGTATGATGGCTTGCGCGCTTGCATGTTTGAGTCGCTGCTTGTCTGCGTTGTGTCACTCCCAGACAGCTGACTGTTTCCACGTTCGAACGTGTCCTGTTCGATAGTGCGTCCTCGTGCATGCCAGAGTTCCGCTATGCGCGCCCACATGTTTCCACTCATGGGTGCGTGGATGCAAGTGGGTGAATCCGGTGAGTGAGTGAGTCCCCGCGCGCTTGCAATTTATTATTGTTTCCATGGGTGACCTAAAAAAATGGTCGCGCGATTGTTGACGTGATGGCATGAACGCACGGTTGCGTTATAGTTTGGGTGTTGTTGCGCTCCTGTTCGGTTGTAACGTCTAGCGTTGCTCCACTGGGTGCTTGTAACTATTTTGCACTCATCGTTTGCCAACAGTTCGGGGCACGCGCGATTGTGTGTATGGTTGGTTTTGTTTTGCGTCGTTCAGTTTTTGCTTACGTGTGCGCGTGGCCCTTTGTCTGCCCCGGCTTTCGGGCGCTTGTTTCGGGCGCTTGTTTGCCATGCGTTGGTTGTTGTTAATTGTTTGTCGCTGGTCGCGTTGGATATTCGGTTGCGCCCTGGGGAACAGCCATTCCGAAACGTTACCAACCGCAGATGCGCTTGCGTGCTGCGTGCTGCCTGCCGTTTGCAAAGCGCGCCGAGACGGCATACGTCGGAGTAGGTGGGCATTTCTGTTTTGGTGGAGGGTGAAGGTGGGATACGTCACCTTGAAACCTGATCGGTGAAAAAACCGGCGCGTTGTGGTGGGGTCGGATGGCACGCGTGTGGCGGTGCATTTCTGTAAGAAAATGTTCGTGGGGCGTCTTGCACACCTTCATCCCGCACAGCGGCAGAGTTGGCACTTCCCACGTGTGTTGATGGTGAGATTTGTTCTGCTTGTTCAGAAAGAACATTGTTTGTGAGTTTCGGGTCGTCCACGACATATCAGCACGGCAGGCCGGACGGCTTGGACAATGTCCATGCGGGGAATGTCCCGACAACCTGTTGCAGCGCGAGTTCGGTTCGCAATTGAATCTCGGACGCGCTGGCAAAACAACGCGCCGCGATTACAATTTTGTTGTGCTTGTTGTGTTTTGTATGGGGTCATGCGTGGCCTAACGAAGTAGCGCAGGATAGTACAAACGTATGCCAAGCTGATTATCTCCTCGCCGTAAGTGTGGCCGCAGCTTGACCCAGCCTCGGTCAGCTGCCTTCTTTGCACTGACTGCTGCGTGAGTGTACCCCTCACCTCACGCGTGGCCCGCAACATTTTCGGTCATGCCCCTCAGACCTCCGATTGCCTGTGCGGGCCAGGTGCCAGCCTTGATGGACAGCGCCCACCACGCAGAGGACGCCGCTTTCTTTTCCTGACGCCCGCGCCCCGCCGGGGCTGGCAGGACGGAGAGTGAAAAGGGGAGAGGCGGGGATGATGGCGGCAAGGATGAGAGGCAGCGGAGTGGAGGATACGATAGAGGGAAAATTTATGGACACCCCCCTTCTCCCCAATATTCAAAGTTTGCACGCTCGGGGGGGACTGCGGCCGAAGTGCAACCCATTCAACCCACCGCCAGCATTGGTCATTTGGGGGGGAGCATGGGTGTTCGCTGATTTCTTCTGGGGCCTGCAGCAGGGGGGGAGGGATAGCAGGCGAGGGTGTGGGATAAATGCGGGAAAGGCGGGGCAGCCAGCGGTTGGAGATGGCCATCGTGCGTGTTGCGCCAGGCGCCCGTGTAGATTGATCATGGTCATATTGAAAATGATACGTAGCGCATGATAATTACGGGCGGGCGCGTGATTGCGAAATATCTGCCCGAAAATTTGGACCGGTGGGTTGTAGTCAACGTGCTGGAACGCTGGCCCAGTTTCTTGAACTCGTTAGCCCTTCCAGCGGGAACGAAGGAGTTGGCGCAGGCTTGTTTGAACAAGCTCAGTGAAGCTGGCCCAGGTTTCTGAAGTAATCGCTTTCTGGATCAGATGTTCGGCTGCAGTGTATGACGCATGCCCCACGGCACGTCGTCACCGGTACACAGTGCCGCGTGTGGTTGGGTACATTTCGAAGGCTTCATTGCATTGGCATGTGGTACGAGGTGCGTGGTACAACTTGCATGGTGCAGACATCGTACATGGGGAAACGTCGTATGCGGTGTTCAAAACATGTTCTGTCTGTCTGCGCGCGTGGTATTAAGGGGTTCGGTGCATTCTGGATGGCGCGTGGTATTTGACATACTATTTTGTATTAACGTTTACAGGGTACACGCTACATGGTATGTGGCACATGCAGTGTACTTTGTGTACATGGCTGGGTTCTCGGGCGCGAGTCCACAGCTGTCGTGCCGTGCGCCCGAGGCTCCGCACGTGACGCAGCGTGGGGCCACGTTCCGGGTCTGGATTCGCGCCCTCCCCCCCCCCCGGCATCGACTTTCGCGCGCGGTGTCTTCCGGCGACGCGCCCGGGGGGGGATGCACGTGGGCCCAGTCATCACCAGCCTCGAACGTATCCCTATCCCTAAGATTGACACGCCAAAAGGCGATGACAATCTTAGGGATTCGCCCTCAAAAAATAAGGGAATCCCTAAGATTGACATCATGATGAAGAGGTGCCCAGCATAGGGATAGGGATATGTTCCAGGCCGGTAAAGTCAGCCTCCTTAAAGGGCTCGGAAGGTGTCGGGCCCTCCGAGAAGTCTCCCCAAGCCTCCCCGAAAGACACGGAAACGCTGTCTTAGGCTTCTCGGGGCTCCTGGAAGCAAGTTTCCCCCAAGTCTTCCGAGACGCCTTCTTCGGAGCTTCTCTCGAGGTGCGATGGCTTTCGAGAAGCGTACGCCGCGCCGCCTTCTGAGAAGGCCCACCCCCTCTTCTCCTCTTCCTCCTCCTCCTCCTCCTCCTCCTCCTCCCTCCTCCTCCTCCTCCTCCTCCTCCTCCTCCTCCTCCTCCTCCTCCTCCTCCTCCGTCTCCGTCTCCTCCTCCTCCTCCTCCTCCTCCTCCTCCTCCTCCTCCTCGCTGATGCGGAGGAGGTGGGCGGCTCCTCGCATCTGGGCTCGCCGCCGAGGCTTGGGGTGGCGGTGCCGCCTGCGTCGTCTATTCTCACTGCCGTGGCGCCGCGGTGTCCACCGTGCCGCGGCGCAGTGGCGCCGCGGTGCCCGCGGTGTCGTCACGTCGCGGCTTCGAGGCGCCGCGGTGCGGATCACGCGCGGCACATGCAGGGAGCACCTCTCAAGCAGCTGTGGGCCATGCGCGAGTGCACTGCCAGTGACGTAGCTTGGCATCGCTCGGACGTGTGCATTGTTCCTTAGGCGAGGACCATCGAGGAGCGTCGTCGATCACTTGGCGGAAAAAACCACGCACGAAACCGAACAAAAACACAGGGAATGGACGTCCAAGCGATGACCAGGCAGGGCAGGTTCGCGCTGCGTTGACGCGGCGGCGACCCCAGCGTTGGCGTGCAGGGGTTGAACGATGCCAGGCGCCCAGGGCTGGCCGATGTCGAACGCTCTGCGGCATCGGGAAGCTCCGATCGTTCAGGGTTGAACGATCCACGCGGTATCACAAGTCCAGGTGTCGATCTAAACGGTGTCTCTGCGATCTCGTGGGCCGTTTCGTTTTGAGCTTGTTCTGCAGCGAAGGCGGAACAAAGCCAGAACGAAGGCAAACGGAAACAAAACGAGAACGACAACCATTGTCTACCTCGAGCCCTGTCACACACCAAACACGATGTCATCGCGACTTGAATCTGCCGTACGGCCCAGCTGCACTGCGCGTCACCACAGTGCCAGGCGTTTCGCACGGGGGGGGGATTCGATGCCTGTGTGGGGGGGGGGGGGGTGCGACGGTCGCAGGGAAGGAGCCCTCATTGGGGCCCCTATGGAGCGTGTTTCTTTATTGCTTGGGTCATTGTGGGCACGATAGCCCCTGACCCCCCCCCTCCCCCCCTAATAACGTAGTTTAACGCGTCCCCCCTCGGTTTTTTTCCCCCCATCCCCCCCCCTAGTCAGCTCCTGGCACTGCCATGGTGCGCATCGGGCGCACGGGCGGGGGGAGGTGTCACATTATACCTCCCCCGCCTGCCCCCCCCCCCCCCGTTCATGCCAGTAACCACGGAAATGAAGAAACGCGCTCATGGGCCCGAAAGGACCGTGTCCGCGGCGGCGTTCTTTCCTCCCCCCCCGTTGTTTGCCCCCCCCCCCCCGATGAAGCAACGACCGATCTGTCGGAGAAGGAAAGGTACAGATACCACTACAGTCGGGGCCCTGAAGAAGGAACCCTTTTCGTTGGGGAGGGTCTCCGCGTTCCTAAGTGTTTCACAGCTTGCATCAGGTTTTCCTTATGTTTCCGATAGGAAATCGAAGTTTAACTTATGGAAAAAATGGGCCTCGTTCCTTATTTAGGGTTCCTTAGGTCAACGCCCCGACTGTACCACTACTCTTCCCTCGTTTTCTCCTTTTTGGGGCCTCCTGGGGGGCCCTCGTCGGCACCGCTGGATTCGCCTCGCAGTTCTGGTCAGAACGCATCCCGGGAGAGGTCTGAGGAGTAGCGATATCGGTATTTCTTGGTTTCCCTAATCGTGAGCCGCTTGTAAATCAAATGTGAATCAACGGGGCAGCAGTGCAATTTCCGAGTTGCGGGTTCGGCAGCGCGCTGGTCGCATGGAGGGCACGATGCCTGCTGTGTGCCGCGCGGTGCGTGGGCACGTGCCTCTGTGGCGTGTGCGGCGTGCCTACCTCGGCGCGAACACTTGGCGGGCGCCTGGTACCTCTGCGCAGTGGCGAGGGTGGGCCGTCGCGGGGCCGAGGCCCGGATGTGTCCAGGGCCTGTCCCCTCAAGCTCTCGGGGCCGCGTGGGCCAAGGGGCCCGAGCTCGCGCGCGAGGCGCGCGCAGAGTTTGGGTCCAGCTCTCGGCCCGCCCTCCTGCGGGGCACACCTGGCCGGCCGGTCGCGCGGCTCCCTCCAAGCCTGGGCCGCGGGGGTCGCCTCGGGCAGATCGGCGGCTGCGCCCTGAGACCCATCTTCTCTCCAAGACCCTTCGGCACGGCCATGCCGTGAGGCTTCACGCGTGTGAGTGCTGAATTCTTGCCTGCGGGCTTCGTGGTGTCTTCTCCATGCAATGTGGGAGCTCTTCCGGTGTCCTGGGATTCCCAGAAGGGTCCCGGAGTCTGGAGGAGCCGTGGGGCAGCCGATAATCATCAAATTGGCCCTTCATCCTCAACCTTCGAGCCTCGTCATGCCGCGTTTCCTCTGACTCCGTGCCTCGGCAATCCCGGGTCCTGTGCTGGAGGGGGGCAGCTCGCTTTCAGTCCTAGTCCCTTCGACGCGACCGCAAGATCTCCTCCTCTTCCTCCTCTTCCTCCTCCTCGTCTTCCCCCTCCTCCCTCTCCCCCTCCTCCTCCTCCTCCTCCTCCTCCTCCTCCTCGTCCTCCTCCTCCTCCTCCTGATGTGCCCTAAGCGTCGGATGTTTCCGCACGGCCAGCACGCGAGCGACGATGTGGCGCGCTTGCGGTCGCGCCCGAGTGTGAAGAGTGGCTCGTCTCCATGGCGGGTGCGCGACGGCGCGGACATCCAGGTGGCACGCGCGATGAGAAGTCCTGCCGTAAAGGATCTGGGGGCACATACTTCGTCGGGCCTGTGCTTCGTACGGTGCCCCTGGGCTCTGCGGGCCCATCTGGAGACAGGAGGCTCCTGTTTGGCAGCCGCCGGCAGGCCAGCTTATGGTTTGGTACGGTCGAGCATTTGATTCAGACACCTCCTCCCGAAGAGCTGGGCCGACGTTTCTGAGCCAACTTGCCAGAGGGCTGGCCCCGCTTCTTGAGCACGTCCGTCCCCACAGCGTTAACAATAGAAGTTGACCCAGGCTTCTTTCAAGAAGCCTCCGGGAAGCTAGCCCAGATGTTTTAAGGTATAGCAGGGGATGAGGAACGGCATAGACATGACAACTCGGGGGTCCGCGCGGATTTCTTGGATCCGCGCTGGACCCCCTCCCTGTCGCGCGGAGCGCACCAGAGGCGGCGCCAGAGGCGCCGCCCGGAGGCCCCAGCGCCGATCCCAGAAATCCGCGCGGACCTCCGAGTTATCATGTTTATGTCTATCGTCATTGTCAGTGTTCGTTCCCCTTATATCGTTTTCTTAATCATATCTTCGGCTGTACTCCCTCTGTAGCCGCGCCTCGCGCTGCGCGCGGCGCGAAGCGCGAAGGTTGTGCGAGACCAGGCTGCGCGTCGGGAGGCTTGCCGCGTGGCCCCAGCGGGCGAGTGGCGCCGGCAGCACGAGCGCCCCCTCCCAGGGTCCACTTTTCGAGCCGAGTGGTCCGATTCGATCTCGGCTCCGACCGGCCTGCCGTGGTGCATCCTGGCGTCGCCGAGTCTGTCCGATTTCGTCTCCGTGCCGGCCGGTGCTGCCCGATCCTTCGGCGGAAGGCGGCGGAAGGGCGGCCGGTGCTGCCCGATCCTTCTGTCCGCCTGTCGCCCCGTGCCCGCCGTTCGTTTTCAGGGCTTTGATTGACCTGGATCGCGCCGCGTCGTTTACTCGGTAGTTGCTGGAGCCCCCGCTAAACTTCCTAGGCTATGGGAGTCGCGTTGAAAAAGAAGGCAGGGCGGCGGAAGCAAAACGGGGCCGCCCTTCCGCCGGCGGGATGTTTTTCGACACCCGTTCGGCCCTCTGCCGGGTGCTCGAAGGTCTTTCTGGGAGGCGGTGCTCGAGCAGGATGGGGACAGCATAAGAGTTATGTCGGGCGTGTCCCCCTACAAGGGGATTTCCGACGAAAAGGAAAGGATACCCCAAAAATGCCCCCAAAAGGCACCAAAAACGCAATCAAAAGATAGTCCCCAGACTATGTTGGACAATTGTTTGACTATTGTTGGGGGTATGTTTTTATGTTTCGTCGACAATTCCCCCCTGGAGGGGGACAGGCCCGACTTGAGCATAAGAGTCGATGCCGGCGGGCCCGGCCTCCAGCCGAAGCTGCTCGAGCGGGTGGTGCTCGAGTACGTCGCGGGGGGCGGGCGGGCGCACGGCGCCCCGCCGGTCGGGGCGCAGCGGGCGGAGCGGGGGCCTCAGCTGGGGAGGGGAGGGGGAGGAGGGACTAGGGAGGGGAGGGGGGGGGGCGGACGAGGAAAGAAGGGAGGGGGGGAGGGGAGGGGGGGGGGGAGGGGCAGGGGAGGGGAGGGGACGAGGGAGGGAGGGAGGGGGCAGAGGATGGGAGGGGAGAGGAGGGGAAAGGAACGAGAAAAGAGAGCAGGAAGGAGTAGAGGAAGGGGAGGGGCGGAGGAAGGAGGGAAGGGAGGAAGGAAGGGAGGGAGGGAGGAGACGTGGGGTGAGGGGCGGCAGGGGAGAACGGAGGAGTGTGGAGCCCCTCGGGGTTCCAGAGCGCCCGAGGCTTTCACACTGAGTTCGCGCGTGCGTCTTTCAGTGGTGTGCGTACTCTGTGGCGTCCTCCTCTCCTTCCGCATCCTCCTCTTTTTTTTTCTCTCCCCCCTCCCCCCCCAAAAAAATAAAAATCATGTTGGAATCTTTAAAGCTGTTTTTTTTCGGGGGGGGGCTTCGGCGGCAAAAGAAAGGAAGGCGACGCGGCCTTATCTGCCCTCCCCCCTGGAAGGATTCCTATTGAACGCCCTCACAAGAAGGATTCATAGTGAAATCCTCTACATAAGGATTCCTATCGAAACCCTCCACTGAATGATTCCTACTGAAATCCTCCACTGATGGATTCATATTGAAATCACCCGCAGAAGGATTGATATTGAGATGCTTCGACAGAAAGAACTCCCCGTTGGCATTGCATTGCCATTGGTTTGGCAATGGTTTGGCATCGTATTGGCATTGCGTTGGCATTGCGCTTGGCAGTGCGTTGCTAGTGTGCTTGCATTTCGCAAGCATTGCGCTGGCGAGTCCTAATGGAACCCTCCACAGAAGGACTCCGATCGAAACCTTCTACAAGAAGGACTCCTAGTGAAACCCTCCACAAAAACGATTCATATTGACACCCCCCACAGAAGGATTCATGCGAAGCCCTCTCCAGAAGGATTCTTATTGAAATCTACCACAAAGGATTTCCCCCATTGGCAGTGCAATGGCATTGGGTTGGGATCGCTTTGGCATTGGCGTGGCATGGTTTTTGGCACTGCGTTGGCACTGCGCTGGCATTGCGCTGGCGAGTTCCAACACCTCCCTTCGCAGAATGATTTCTGTTGAACCCCCACAGGAAAAAATCCGATTGAAGCATTTCACAAGAAGGGTTCACATTGATCTCCCTCATGGCCCTCGCCCCTAGAAGGATTCCCATTGAACGCCCTCACAAGAAGGATTCATAGTGAAACCCTCTACAGAAGGATTCCGACCGAAACCCTCCACTGAATGATTCCTATTGAAATCCTCCACATATGATGGATTCCCATTGGAATCATCCGCGGAAGGATTCATATTGAGATGCTTCGAAAGAATGAGCACCACGTTGGCATTGCATTGCCATTGGTTTGGCAATGGTTTGGCATCGCATCGGCATTGCGTTGGCATTGCGCTTGGCAGTGCGTTGCTCGTGTGCTTGCATTTCGCAAGCATTGCGCGGGCGAGTCCTAATGGAACCCTCCACAGAAGGACTCCGATCGAAACCTTCTACAAGAAGTTCTCCTATTGAAGCCCTCCACAAAAAACGGTTCATATTGACACCCTCCGCAGAAGGATTCCATGCGAAGCTCTCTTCAGAAGGATTCTTTTTGAAATCTACCACAAAGGATTTCCCCCATTGGCAGTGCATTGGCATTGGGTTGGGATCGCTTTGGCATTGGCGTGGCATTGCGTTGACACTGCGTTGGCATTGCGCTGGCGAGTTCCAACACCTCCCTTGGCATAATGATTCCTGTTGAACCCCCCACAAGAAGGATTCCGATTGAAGCATCCCATAAGAAGAGTTTACACTGAACTCCCTCACGGAAGGATTCCATTCGAACCCCTCCATTGAAGGATTCTTCTTGAACCCGACCACAAACGATTTCCCCCATTGGCATTGCATTGGCATTGAATTGGGATCGCGTGGACATTGGTTTAGCATTGCGTTGGCATTGCGCTGGCGAGTTCTAATGCCCCCCCCCCCACAGAAGGATTCCTATGAACACCTTGCACCAGAAGGGATCCTTTTGAAAGCCCCCACATGAAGGATTCAAAGTGACCCCCCCCACAGAAAGATTCCAATCGAAACCCTCCACGGGAGGATTCCTATCGAAATCTTCCGAAGAAGGATTCGTAACCAACTCATCCACATAAGGAATCCTAGTGAAATCTGTTGGAAGGCAGAAATCCCGCCATCGGCATTGCATTAGCATTGGTTCGGCAACGGTGTGGCATCGCATTGGCATTGCGTTGGCATGGCGATGGCAGTGCGTTAGCAGTGCGTTGGCATTGCGTTGACATTGCGCTGGCGCGCCCTACTCAAACATTTCATAGACGGATTCCTATTGAACACCCCCACAAACAAGGATGCCTATTGAATCCCCCCCACAAGAAGGATTCACATGGAAGTCCTCAACAGAAGGGTTCCATGCGAAGCCCTCCATATAAGGTTTCCCATTGAAATCCACCGAAGAAGGGTTCTTAGAAGGATTGCTGTTGAAATCTACCACTAACAATTCCCCCCCATCGGCATTGCATTGGCATTGCATTGGCATTGCGTTGGCACTGCGTCGGCATTGCGCTGGCGAGTTCGAATGGCTCCCACCACAGAAGGATTCCTTACCTTCCACGAGAAGGGCTCCTTTTGAAAGCCCCCCACATAACAGATTTATACTGAACCCTCCCAGGGAAGGCTTCCAATCGAACACCTCCACAGGTAAGATTCTTTTTGGAATCTACCACACATAATGCGCTCCATTGGCATTGCATTGGCATAACATTTGGATCGCTTTGGCATTGCATCGGCATTGCGTTTGCAGTGCGTTCGCAGTGCGTTGGCATTGCGTTGACATTGCGCTGGCGAGTCCTACCCAAACGCTTAACAAAGATTCCTATTGAACACCTCCACATAAAGGATGCCTATTGACCCCCCCACAAGAAGGATTCAAATTGAAATCCTCATCAGAAGGGTTCCATGCGAAGCCCTCCATACAAGGTTTCTAATTGAAATCCCCCGAAGAAGGGTTCTTAGAAGGATTGCTACTGAAATCTACCACAAACAATTCCCCCCATTGGCATTGCATTGGCATTGGTTTGGCATTGCGTTGGCACTGCGTCGGCATTGCGCTGGCGAGTTCGAATGGCCGCCACCACAGAAGGATTCCTTACCTTCCACAAGAAGGGATCCTTTTGACAGCCCCCCACAAAAAAGATTCATACTGAACCCCCCCACGGAAGGATTCCAATCGAAAACCTCCACAGGTAGGATTCCTTTTGGAATCTACCACACAGGATACCCCCCATTGGCATTTCATTGGTATTGAATTGGGATCGCCTTGGCATTGGTTTGGCATTGCGATGGCAGTGCGTTAGCCGTGCGTTGGCATCGCGCTGGCGAGTCCTAATGGCTCCCTCCGCAGACGGACTCCTACTGAAACCCTCCTCAAGAACGATTCCGACTAGATCCTCCCACATGAAGGATTCCTAGTGATGCCCTCCACATGAGGATCCCTATCGAAACCCTACACATAAGCATTGCTATTGACATCCTCCGAAGAAGGATTCTTAATGACATCATCCACAAAGTATTCTTATTGAAATAAAGGATTCCGCCATTGGCATTGCATTGGCATTGGTGTTGGTTGGGAATGGATTTGTATCGCATCGGCACGCGTTGGCCTGGTGCAGGAGATAGGCAGAGAGAGAGAGAGAGAGAAAAAAAAAACAGAGAGAGAGAGAGAGACAAAGAGAGAGAGAGAGAGAACACTAGAGAACGATATAACGAGACAAGGCTAGTATGAGGGGATCACGGCGAAAAGAAAAATTGCAAAACACAATCAAAGTTTCGGGGTGAAAGAGCGCTTCACTCGATTAAAAACCGTATGAAAACGTCGAGGGTCTCCACAATCCCCCGGCCTCGCGGAGGGAGGGGGGGGGAAGGAGGCCTTGCCTTCCCTGGGCGCTGTCTCTCAGTAATGTCTTTGTGTGTTGGCTGGCCAGAGGAGTCCTCGTGCTGTGATTTGGCGTCCATTCCGCTCCCTCGCTCGCTCCCACCATCTGCCTCTCTCTCTTCCTCTCTCCCTCTCTCCCTCTCTCGCGCCGTCTTGTCCTTCGCGTGTCCACCGCAGGGCTGACAGAAGTGTGGGGGGGAATGCTCTCCATCATCGAGCACGCCCCCTTCCGATGCGGCGTGTCCTCTTCTCCTCTCCTCCTCCTCCCCCCTCTCTCGCCGCTGCCCTTCCTCTGCACCGCATTCTGTCAGGGGCCGTCTGGGCCGCAGGGGACATCCGCACAGCGCCCCTGCCCCTTCTCCTCCCCCTCCCTCCTCCTTCCAGTGCCTCCCGGTGCGACTCGGGGTGAGCAAAACGTTCGAACCCTGGTTTCTGGGCCATAGCTTTAAGTCGGGCCCGTCCCTCTACAGGAGGAATATTCCAAAATAGTGAAAAAATAATCAGGGGATTATTTTTGGACTATTTTTGAACATGTTTGGAGCATGTTTGCGGTATTTCTTTCTTGTTTTGTCGAAATTCGCCCTGTAGGGGGACAGGCCCGACTTAACCATAGCTCCTTCTGCCTGCACCGATGTAGGGCTTCGCGCGGCAGGGAGGAGTTGTTTTTCGAACCAGGCGTATTACCGTGTCCGTGGCACTGCCGCCCTGCTGGATCACCTCAAGCATACAATGTTTGATGTGTTGCCTTGGAACTTGTTTAAAAAAATATGGGGATGGGGCACCGGCTGTGCCGCGAGTGCTCGAAAGGTGGCGCGCAGAGCCGTGGTTCGCGCTGCAGCGAGAGCTCGACTGTGCACGCAGCAGCGGTCTGTGCCCGGACGGATTCGGGACCACCCCCCAGCGGTGGACCATCAATTGGTGACGGCTGCCGGTCCCTGCCCGCGCCCTCCTCGTTTCCCCTCGCCGACCTCCTCGTCTCGCTGCTCGCCTTGCCTCCATCTGGTGCTTCGTGGTGCTGCAGGCGCGGTGTGGGCTCTGGGCCACCAGTCGCAGGCTTCGTGGGGAGGGTGGGGGTTGTCTCACTGGGCGGATGTTGGAGCCGGCCAGGGGGCTGAGGTGGCCCAGCTTTGGTTCCAGCCAGCACGAATGAGGAGGAGGTTCAAAGTTAAGGGTTCGACAAGGCTGTTCGGGGGGCGTATTCGGGCCCTGGGACAGTCAAAACTGGGTCCGGGGTGAAACTGTGCACCCGATGGTCATTGGGAGGGGTCTGGGGTCGGGGCAGGATATTGAGCGGATTTGCCATCCAGCCCATACCCTCTGGCCGCCTCCAGGGTGGGTGCACTGGGGGCGGCTCAGAGCCTGTCGACTACCTCCGCCATTCAAGGCGTGAGCATTTCCCGCGCGTTCTGCCACTTGCCATCCGTTCCAACGTCCCAGCAGAGACTCCCGACGGCATGGGTCCTCGGAGCCAGCCATCAGACTCATGGTCGTAGCACAGTACATCCAGAGCATCTGGAGACGGATGCCGCGGCCCGTTCCTGAAACACCGAATTGCGGAGTTGGTCGAAAGGGTTCGATGCACCTGCGCCATTCCATTGGGCAGACTTGTTCTCGTCAGGGAAATTCGAGCGGTTCCTTACAGGCCGACGTGAACATCGGTTTGATGTAATGTAGTGTTCTGGCGTGTTTTGTGTACTTTTTGGTGGATTTTCAAGGGCCATCTGTTCCAGGCCTTCCAAATTGGGTGTGGGTAGATGGGGTCGGAGAATCGTGCCGCATCGCCGATGCATCAGCGATGCGGCTCGATGTGGAGCCTGATTATTTCCGCGCCGACGTCGCCGATGCATCGCCGACGTCGCCAGCGCATCGGCGATACATCGGCCAGGCATCGGCGATGCGGCTCGATCCTCCGATCCAATCTAATCGGACCCCAGGTTCTGCGTTCATAACCGTGGAATAACACAATCAAGCATGTTGCCGATCATAGGTTGATGCAGAATGCCAGTGGTAGTCTTTTGCGCTGGGACTTGCGTGATGTGACGCACGGTTCGAGATCATTGTAGAGTTTACGTATTCAAATTTGCAGTATGTTTTTCTCGTTCGTGATGATGGTCTTTGTAAGGGCATATATGATGTAACGCTGGCCCCTGCCCTGCATATAATAATACGCAACACCGAGCATACATTTTCGAGATGAACGGTCAGGCCGGGATTGGGCTCCACAAAATATACCTATATATACATATATATATGTATACTGACATACATACATACATACATACATACATACATACATACATACATACATACATACATACACACATACATACATACATACATACATACATACACACATACATACATACATACATACATACATACATACATACATACATACATACATAATGAGGCTATGTTGAAGGTCTTCGCAACATCGCACGAAAACGTGTACAAGACGACGAGGGTTGATTGCAGGGAGGTCGTGTACTAGGCCGTTTCGGGTTGAGAGAGTCCTTGAACACACTGGCGACGAAATCGATGGGGCGATCATGCAGGTAAAGAATGGCAAGTCCCACGTGATTGCTGTATGTTACGGTGGTACTTTGAAGGCTGAGTGCAGCATTTGCGGGACCTCGTGCTGCACATGTTTGATCAGACTTTTAACCCACCCCATAATATCCTTCAAGCATTGGTTGGTTGCGTAGACTGCAATTGCAAGGACCAGATCTGCCGACCCTGAAAAGTGAGCAGCTTGGGCGCAAGTGGCGGAGGCAGGGGTGAGGGGGGCAACGGGGCAGTGGCGGCTTCAATGCAAGAGGGAAGATCTAACGGTCCTCGGCCCATCGGAAGATTCTGGAGGGACCCCTTCTTCTCCGGGGGAGCAAGACTTTCTAGAAGGGAGCCTTGATGTAACAACCCCACAGCGCTGATTCTTTTTTGATTCTGCAATCGCCAACGAAACCTACCCGTGCGGGTCTGAGCGACGCTAGGTTCTCGGACCTCCCCGTAGTGGATTCACTTGCGTGCAGACATCCTTCAAACGTTGAGCCCACGCCTGCGTTTCAGAAATCTGACCTGTAGGTGTAGGATTCACATGTAGTTGCACAGTGGGGGGGCTGCACTTCCAGGTGGGCGATGCTGAGCAAGGACTAGGGTGCTCCTCAACCCCTCTCCCGCCGGACGCACGAGCTTGGCAGTGGGGAGTTTCGGGGACCACCTGCTTGCCAGACCTGCTCGCGTCGCGAGAAAATCACGACGGGAGGCCATTGCTAGATTTGCGCCCTCTGGAGGACATCACCGGGCCCTGGAGAAGGCAACAGACGATTCGGGATGAAGCCCTGGCCCCGGGGAAGGGGTCGAGACCCCTGGGGGTCCACGTTGTGAAACAAGTTACGATGTCGGGGTTCTGGGTGCTTCTGTGTGGATCCCGCGAGCACTGTTCGTTTGCTTCTGTCGACGTCCCGCGGGCACCGGGGCGGCAACTGGGGGCCAGCGGGAGCCGAGGTATCTCGAGCTCCTCAGGGAGGCCATGGTCCACTTCGGCCTGCGGGGCATCTACCAGTTGCCCGGATGTCACCCGACTGTCCTAGCGAGCGGCGCTGAAGCGTCGTGATCGTTGTGACAGAACACATGGGGCAACGTTAGGCTTGGTATCGCTCGGTCGTGTGCACCTTTTTCTCGGCGGGGACTATCGAGGAGCATCCTGGATCATCTTGCGAAAATTATTCACTGCGTGGGGATCCCCATATGTGCATCTCCTTGCTGGCGCTCCCTTGGTGGTGGGACTCGGTGAGGACGAATCTGGATTTAAGTGTGACTGAGCTGCCTCTCTCTCTGCTCTCTCTGCTCTCTCTGTCTCTCTCTCTCTCTCTGCCCTCTCTCTGTCTCTGCCTCTCTTTCCCTGCCTCTCTCTCTCTCTGCCTCTCTCTCTGCCTCTGTCTCTCTGCCTCTCTCTCTCTCTGCCTCTCTCTCTGTGCCTCTCTCTCTCTGCCTCTATCTCTGCCTCTCTCTCTCTCTCTCCTCTCTCTCTTCTCTCTATTCTCTCTCTGCTCTCTCCTCTCTCTCTCACTCTCCCTCTCTCTCTCTCTCGCTCTCTCTCTTCTCTTCTCTTCTCTTCTCTCTCTCTCTATCTCTCTCTCTCTCTTTCTCTCTCTCTTCTCTCTCTCTCTCTTCTCTCTCTCTCTCTTTCGCTCTCTCGCTCTCTCTTGCTCTCTCTCGCTCTCTGTCGCTCTCTCTCGCTCTCTCTCTCTCTCTCTCTCTCTCTCTCTCGCTCTCGCTCGCTCTCTCTCTCTCGCTCTCTCTCGCTCTCCCTCGCTCTCTCCCGCTCTCTCTCTCTCTCTCTCTCTCTCTCTCTCTCTCTCTCTCTCTCTCTCTCTCTCTCTCTCTCTCTCTCTCTCTCTCTCTCTCTCTCTCTCTCTCTCTCCTCTCTCTTTCTCTCTATAGTCTCGGCTCGAGAGTGCTCTGCACTCAGACCGCAGCCGCGACGCGAAGCGCCCCGCCTCGGAGTCGGACTCCCAGGCCTCGCGAGACCGGAGGGGCCCCAGCAGGACCCTACTGATTCGCGTCACCTCTCCGCACCAGAGTGCCCGCAGCAATGGCCCCCAAGAAGCCGGAGCGCCGTCACTCTTCAAAGCAGCCTCCGAGCTCCCGCCCCACGCGCCCTGCTGCTGAAGGGTCCCTCCTTCAACGCAAGCAGGACTGCATCGCAGCGTTCAGGCAAGCGGGGTCTGACCGCCCCACGGCCGCCTATAACGGGCTAGCCGAACTGAACGCGGACGAGCTCCAGGCAATGTACGACATGCACAAGTCCAACACGAAGAAGCTTGGCAGCGCCCTTATCCGCATGTGCGCCGCCAACCAGATTCGCTACACGCTCGATCACCACCAGCGCAGCAAGCCTAAGCGCACTGGCGGTGACACATCGCATCCACCAGCGGGCTCCGCACGTCTTCAGGCTGCGGACACCCAATTCATCGCCTTGGACCCTGCCTTTTGGAAGGTCCCTGTCCTTGCCGAACCCACCTCGCCTGACGACGGCAAGACGTACAAGCCCAGCATCAGCCTCCACGACTACGAGAGTGGTGAACGGCTGCTGCAGCACCACCTCGGGCAGGGCAAGCGAGCCACGGGTCAGCTCGCGATTGCTGTCATGGGCCCGAAAAACGACAACTACGTCGGTACCGAGCTCGCCGTCCCCGTCCTGAAGCGCCACCCCAAGGCGCCCAAAGTGGTCCACACGCACGTCCCCGTGATCGTGTACCAGCTGGGCACCAAGGAGGTCGCCTGCACGGAAAAGGTAGCCGTCGCCACCATCGACCCCGCCGACCACGTCTGCTGGATTCGGGCGACCATACACGAGACCGAGGCCATTGCCGCAGCCCCCTCCATGCACCAGGCCTTCGAGGACCAGTTCTCGGGAGGTGCCCCCGTGAACGGTGGTCCACGCGCCAAGGGCCCTTTTCGAGGCGACTCCGCTCCACAGGACAAGGCGCGCCAAAAGCACAAGGAGTCCAAGAAAGACGCTCGCCGCCAGGAGCTCGATAGCCAGCTCCAGGACACCTTCAAGGCCCTCTTCCACGGCAACTTTAAAGCCGTCACCATCCTCGAACCCTGCAAAAGCCTAGGCAGGTCTGGATCGGGCGTCGGAAAGAGGTCCCTGGCTGCCACCTTCGGCGTCAGTCTCCAAGCGGTCGACAAGGTCCTGGCGGGATCAGGGCAACCCGGTGCCACCTACGACCTCAGCAACGTAGGTGCAGACGAGCCCACCGCCGACAAGTATCAGACCGTGTGGTTCCCTGAGGACCAGCCCATCACGATGGCAGACGCGTTCCAGAAGTCGGTGGAGTTCAAGGCCCTGGGAGTCGTCAGGCACGGCAAGTCAGGCCTGCTGGGGATCCGTGTTCCGCGGGGGTCCGACGTCGCCAAGGCCGCTGCTGTCAGCATCCGCGGCTGCGAGGCTACCCTCGCCAAGACGCGCTACCGCATCACTGGCATTGCGGCACGCCACGCCACGCTGACCCAGCTCGCCAAGACTCTCACGGGCCCGTCCGTTA